GGTAGGCTGCTGTTGTTGATTTCCGCGTGCGTACGATGAGCCATCAAGACTCATGGGAGTCACGTCGTTGTTGTTGCTATTGTGTGACAGCGCAGGTGCCGCTTGATGGTGTTGTTCGTAGAAGGACATGAAGGAGAAAAACTTCTCCATCATGCTCTAATCGAAGCTTGCAGGTTGATTCGCGGGAGTCTCGGTATTGGTTGCTCTTGGTTTTGTTGCCGTACCCTCCTCTGTCTGTAGGCCAGAGGCCAGAGGTGGAGTAGGAGTAGTACCCGGGGAGCCGTTAGAGGAGCTCCTTTCCTTTTGTGTTGCCATGCCTTCTGATGTTGTAGATAACTTGATAGTAGTGAGTTCCCCCTGTTAGCTCTCATACCATGTTGGGCTGAAAAAGCCCTTAGGATCTTTGCAGGGCTGAACTCTAGATAGAACTTGCTGTAATAGCGGAAGCTTTTAATGAGAAGTGTTTGAACCACCTTGCGCTGGTATGTGAGGGCAAAGAAGATTGATTAAACAAATAGATACAGATCTTTTATAAGAGTACAAGGAATATGAAAGGATACAATTATAACTGTTTTACTGTTGCTGTTGCGGTTCGATATAGTGACGACTCGGGCAACTGCTCTGTAACGAGTCAGTTGTGTGTCCTTGCTGTCGCGCTGTATTTGTCAGGTCAAAGGTCGCTGACCTTTGACTTTCGCGTAACCTCTAGCAACTGCTCAACCTCCGAGGGTTGACTCGCCGGTGCTTCGATATACTTCGCTTTGCTTCTGGCTTGGTGTTTCGACACGACAGAGGCGCTTAAGTTAATTGTTTCCAACAATAACTCCCTATACCTCATTGAGATCTTTCAACGTGGTAGGCTCTATGCCCTATCTGAAGGGAGTGGCGGCTCTGCTGGGCGTCGCGCGTGCACGCCAGTCGCCACCGTCCTGCCGCGCTCTACTGCACTTGCCGTGTTCATCGTGTGCCCTACCGTGGCTGCTGATATGGTGGGAGGTGGTGGGGTGTATGTTGGGTTGCTAAAAACAGGCACATGTCCGCACCGCACATCATGTGCCCTTGTTGCACTTGCCGTGCCCGTCGCGTGCCATGCCGTAGCTGCCACTGTGTGTCGGGGAGGGGGGGGGGGGGGAAGGTGGTGGGGGTAGCTGACGATGGAATGCTGATGCCCGTGCTTGCGCCTGCCATCGTCAAGCCCGTTATACTCGCGCAAGTTGCCCCTAAAAGGCGACGGGAGTGGCGGTCATGGTGGTCAGCGGACTGCGGATGCTACTTCTTAGCCCCTCCATCACCTCCTCCTCATTCTTCATCTCTCTCTTACTGCTGCTACTCTTACGGCTGGCACTCCTCCTGCCGCCGCTAAGCAAGTGATGTCGCTGCACTTGTCGCCGCTGTATCTGCTACTGCCGCACCTGTCGCTACTGGGCACATACCGACGCTCCCTGTTGAAGGCGCCGCATCTGTTGCCGTTGAGCACCTTCCACACTGCTCCCTATTACAATCGACGCACATGCTGCCGCCTCATCTTCGGCCGACGCACTTGCCCCCGCCGTACTTGCCGATGCTGCATCTGCCGTCGCCGAGCACATGCTGTCGCTCCATCTGCCACCGGTGCACCTGTTATAATGTGGTAAAAAGGGTAAATTTCTCGAAACATCGTCAAACGAACTGTGGGTGTTTTATAAGGGTTTGCTTTCCAATCAAGCTGATCCGACATGCACAATAATATTTTATTCCACCGCAATCAAATGAACTTGTATGACACGCCCTAGAGGTGTGTGGCATTGGAGTTAAAGCCAGGATCTCAAGTAAGAGAAATTGGCTTCAATTGCAAAACACTTGCAGCTCGAGTCACCCTGTTTGTGTAGGCGAAATTCAGTGGTTGGGTTGGAGGTTCAGTGTGCGACAGATTTCCGTTTTGCCCGTGAATCTCAATTGCAAAACAAATTGCTGTACATGAGATTTTTCGGAGGTGGGACACATTGCTGGGAAATGAGCTTCGGAACCCAACCTGATTTCCGTGCCTAGGTGGTTCGGAAGCAGCCTACGATTTTTGTTCGCTTCGCATCCCTCGTTTCAGCTCTCGTCAACTACTCTACCTCGTCAACCAAACAAAGCCTAGCACAATTCACTAACTGCAAAATGGCCAAACTACATGAGATACCGGCTTTAAACTTTTGCCAAAAGTTACTTTTCCGGAGATGTTGTACAGTGCAACAGTGCAAAGTGGTAAAGGTAGAGCTTCGACAATTTCTGCCAAATGTCAAGCGCCCTAGGGCGGGTTCACGAATGTACAGATGATCAAAGCGCTAGCTAGCTTGAAAGCATCATTTAAAACGAATCTGACTTGAGAGTTTGAACATTTTGATAAACTAAAATGAGGACGCATTACCTTCCCCCCTCCCCTCCCCTCACTAGATCATGCGATGGATCCTGCTCATGCATATGCAAAATCAATCTTCCACCGCACTAAAATTCTGCGTACGTTCACAATTACCATAACATTTTGTACATCTAGAAAAGATTCGATTCTGCGCAGGATTGATGATATAATTGAGGAATGAGGAGAAGCTTCCTAAGATTCACTAGAGGTTTCCATGAAAAGAACACTGGATTAGCCTCTGGTTTGGCTGGAGGGGCTACAAACTGAGTGCTTGGGAGGCGTGAGCGCGCTCACCCGCTACGCAAACATTCCATTTCATCCCTGTTGGTTAGCGTGTTGGTTAGTAAACTGGGATCTATCCCTGCATGGTGCAGTGAGCGTGGAGAGTAGAGTTCGGTTTTTGTTGTTGGCAGACTTCTTGCGCCCTAGTGGTGGGCATTCTCAGTGAGGGGAGTGTTGGAAGCGTACACTGGATTGGCCCGTATTGGTCTTTCCTAAGAGCTACAAGCGTCGTGCTAGGAGGTATGTGTCAGAGGTCCACTGGGGATCCCCGATGATCCTAGGGAAGGGTTACAGGCACGTCGGCCTGGGGGGTTATGGGCGCACTCACCCGCTATATAAACAAGCCCTTTTATCCCAGTGGTTAGTGGCTGGGATTCTGACATGGTATCAGAGCGAAGGTCTCGGGTTCGATTCCCGGTGTGTGCACTTCGGGCATCCCAGTGCGGGGGGGTGTCAGAGGTCCACTGGTGATCCCCGATTGATCCTAGGGAAGGGTTACAGGCACGTTGGCCTGGGGGGTTATGGGCGCACTCACCCGCTATATAAACAAGCCCTTTTATCCCAGTGGTTAGTGGCTGAGATTCTGACAGTATGTGCACGTTGACCCACCAAAGAAACATTCCCTTACTCGGTGGTTAGTGAATTTGGTCGTGGGGGCCAGAGTTCAATCCTAGGCGTCGTCGCTTTGAGAGGAGTGAAAACAAAATTCCTTTTTCCTCGGTGAGGCCACTCCTATTAAGAGGGGTGTGTAAAGGACACTGGAATTGGCCTCTGGTTTGGCTGAAGGGGCTACAAGCTGAGTGTTTGGTGTCAGAGGTCCACTGGTGATCCCCGATTGATCCTAGGGAAGGGTTACAGGCACGTTGGCCTGGGGGGTTATGGGCGCACTCACCCGCTACACAAACAAGCCCTTTATCCCAGTGGTTAGTGGCTGGGATTCTGACATGGTATCAGAGCGAAGGTCTCGGGTTCGAATCCCGGTGTGTGCACCTCGGGCATCCCAGTGCGGGGGGGTGTCAGAGGTCCACTGGTGATCCCCGATTGATCCTAGGGAAGGGTTACAGGCACGTTGGCCTGGGGGGTTATGGGCGCACTCACCCGCTACATAAACAAGCCCTTTTATCCCAGTGGTTAGTGGCTGAGATTCTGACATTTGGGAGGCGTGGCAGGCTCACCCGCTATGCAAACATGCCCAATTATTCAAGTTGGTTAGCAAACAGGAGCTATTCTAGTAGTTCCTTTAGAAGCTATCCTTCGCTTATTCAATGTTCACCCTAACCCAAAAAATTGCTTAGTGGTCAACTGCTAATGTTTTTGCCCGACCAAAATGAGCATTGTGCTAAGTTTGGGGTACAGTTACCAAGTTTCAAAAGCCAATTTTGACTGTTCATTCATAACAGGGGTCTCCTGTTGCATTCTTTATCGCTGAGTTACAAGCACATTTTTTTTCACTTCACTCTAAAGTCCCACTGCTTCCTGTGAAGACATGAGCACAGGTCGACGAATGCCAAAACTATTTCAGTCTATTTCTGCAAAGCTACCTGGTGATATTGTAAAGAGATTCTAGTGTACAACACAGCTGAGGTTAAGTCTGGATGACGTGGAAGTCCCGTTGTTGCTCCGCTCGACCAATCAAATTGACGCACACGGATTGCTTCGATTGCTGTGTCTCCAACGCGGTGCGGACATCAATTCCCCGTCACACCATACCGTAACAAGCGTTTACCGATTTATACCATACCAGCCCACACCCCACGCCGTCTTTGTCACAGCACAGTTTCACCCTTCCCGAGAAGCTGCAACACCCGATTCACAGTGGTACAGAGCGGTCGGAGAGATCAACGGAGAACAGACTGGCGGAGAGGAGGGATATTGGTGGGAGCGTGAGCACAAAGAGCAGAGTGAGGAGAGACCAACGGAGAACTTGCACGTTAGACCGCATCGCACTGCACAACACACAAGCAGCCATCCGTGGTGGCTTCTGTCTCTTTCTTTCACCACCTTCGCCACTACATTCCAAGACCAAGAGCCTCTCCCCTCCGCCATGGCAGCCGCATCTTGCGCCATCGCGCACTCCGCCTCCCGCCTCATTTCCCCCTCCCCCGCCACCACCCTGCGCTCCTCCTTCCTCTCCTCCCCCGCCACAGCTCTTCCCATCCAGATCTCCCGCTCTCCCCCCAGCACTTCCGCTCCGCTTGCGCCGATCCCCGCCGTGCGCGCATACGCGGAGCCGCCGAAGCAGGGCGCGATCGGGAACTTTTTCGCGAGATTAACGGGCGCGCTGCCGGTGGTGGGGCTCGTGTCGCGCATCGCGAGCGACGAAGGCGGTGTCGGCATGGACCGCATTCACTACGCGGAGTTCTGCCGGCGCGTCGAGAAGCGCTTGCCGCAGGGCGCGTGGATGGCGGTTCGGGAGTTCGAAGCCCGCTTCGGCAAGGTTCGTCCTTTCGCCCTGTTTTTTGTTCGTTCAGATCGGGTTGGCATGGTTGGGTTCGGTCGGATTCGGTTGTGACTTTCGGCGTGCTGTTTGCGCGTCTTAAGAAGCTGCCTGCATACGATCTCAATGTGAAGATGGAATGGGTATGGGCATGGGAATGGGGATGGGGTCGGGGATGGGTATGGGCATGGGAATCTGCATGGGAGCAGTGCGCGCATGATAGGAGAGTGCTTGCGTGTGCGAAGCAGTCGCGCCAGGATGCGGGTGACGGAGCGCGCCGCTTACTAGCGGAAGGCGCACGCGGAAGGCGCACGCGGCGGAAGTTGGAGGGGAGCCAGTCGGGACAAGTTGCGTAGTGGCGAGGGAGGGAGGAGGAGGGGGAGAATATGGGAGGAGCTGAAGAGGAGGAAGAAAGCGAGTGGTGGAATATGAGTGACAGTCACTCAAGAGTGGTGGAGGGAGGGGATAAGGCGAGGGTGACTAAAGGGATGGCGAGCAGGGTGGGGATGAGCAGGAGGTGAGGAGAGGAAGGGAGGGGTGTAGAGGGGAGGTGAGCGAGTTGAGGGGGAGAGTTGGGGGTTTGGCGATGAGAGAGAGGGGGGAGGCGAGAGAAGAAGGTTTTGTGAGAAGGGAGAAGTGCGAGGGCGGTGCTCCATGGCCGTGTTGGCAGCATAACGGCCTCATGCCCTCCCCCTTGCCTTGTTATGCCTGCCCCATGCCCCATGCCCATGCCCCTGCGCCATGCCCCATGCCCCATGCCCCATGCCCCATGCCCCATGCCCCATACCCCATCACCTATGCATGTGGTGCTGCATCGCAAAACATTCTTCAGAAAACATTCATCGGTCGACTCTCAACCACCCCTTCCAACTTCCCCGCTCCCCCCCTCCTCCATTCCTCCCCCCCGCCTCATCCTGTTTGCTGGTCCTGTGGTGCTGGATCGCAGAGGTGGGAGCAGGAACACCTTTCGCTAAACTCTTGTCTACCCCGCGCACCTTTCCCACTCCTCCCACCCGCATTCCCCCCCTTCCCCCGCACCCGATCCAGATGGCGCGCCCAGGGCTGGTGTTCCTGTGCTGCTGGATCGCAGCAGTGAGGCTGGGGTACGTCCTTCACTCAACGCTTCAAATTCACCCCCCGCACCATCCCCCCCACGCCTCCCGTGCCCCATTTCGTCCCCCCCACCCGCCCCCCCCTCCCCACCCCTCCTCATCCAGATGGCGCGCCCAGGGTTGGTGTTCCTGTGGTGCTGGATCGCAGCAGTGAGGCCGGGGTACATTCTTCCCTCGACTCCTCTCCAACCCCCACACTTCCCCCACTCCTCCCACCTCCCACTCCCTCCCCCACCACACCCCTCCTCACCCCATCCAGATGGCGCGCCCAGGGCTGGTGTTCCTGTGGTGCTGGATCGCAGCAGTGGGGCCGGGGTACGTGCGGCGGGAGGCCATTCTGCTGGGCGCACGGCGCCTGCGCGCGTCCCAGGATGCGGACTACGAGCTGGGGGTGTTTGACCAGCTGCTGGACGACCCCACTAAGGTGCGGGTGCGTGCATGAGTGGGTGTGTGAGTGAGTGAGTGATGCTTGGGTGTGGGTGGGTGTGTGTGCGTTCGTTGAGGTGCCTTCCAGGATGCCGGCTACGAGCTGGGGGTGTTCGACCAGCTGCTGGACGACCCCTCCAAGGTGCGATGGTACCCCTTAGGTGGGTGTGTGTGGGGGGGGGGGGGGGTTACGGCGCCTGCGTGCATCCCAGGATGCGGACTATGAGCTGGGGGTGTTTGACCAGCTGCTGGACGACCCCTCCAAGGTGCGATGGTACCCCTTAGGTGGGTGTGTGTGGGGGGGGGGGGGGGGTTACGGCGCCTGCGTGCATCCCAGGATGCGGACTATGAGCTGGGGGTGTTTGACCAGCTGCTGGACGACCCCTCCAAGGTGCGTGCATCAGCGCGTGCGTGAGTGAGTGAGTGAGTGGTGCGTGAGTGAGTGGTGTGTGAGTGGTGCGTGAGTGGTGTGTGAGTGGTGTGTGAGTGGTGCGTGAGTGTTGTGTGAGTGGTGTGTGACTGGTGCGTGAGTGGTGTGTGAGTGGTGTGTGACTGGTGCGTGAGTGGTGTGTGAGGTGCCTTAAAGGCCGACTACGAGCTGCGGGTCTTTAAGCAGCTGCCGAGGTGCGTGAGTGAGTGAGTGAGTGAGTGAGTGGGTGAGTGAGTGAGTGAGTGAGTGAGTGAGTGGGTGAGTGAGTGAGTGAGTGGTGCGTGCGATGCATCCCAGGATGCAGACTATGAGGTGGGGGTCTTTGACCAGATGCTTGACCAAGGTGCGTGCGTGGGTGGGTGGGTGTGAGTGAGTTGCTAGCGTGGGTGGGAGTGAGTGAGTGAGTGAGTGAGTGAGTGAGTGAGTGAGTGAGTTGAGTGTTCGAGTGCTTGAGTGTGTGTGAGTGTCTGTGTGAGTCCTCTTTCTCTCCCTCCCCACCCCGTTCCCACCCCTCCCCCACCCCGTCCTTTACATGCCCGCATAATTCCTCAGAAACCCCTCCGTCTCTCCCTGCTCCCTCTCCCCATTCACCCGCATTGCCCTTTCTCCTTTCCTCGCCACCCACACACCCACCCACCCACCAACCCGCAGGTGAAAACAGCGGAGGCGGCAGCAGCAGCAGTGCCAGTGGAGGCGAGGGCAGAGGTGGCTCTAGACGCCATTCTCGACTGTTGCGTGGGGCCGCCCTTTCGCTCCCCATTCAATCGCATTGCCCTTTCCCCTGCCCCACCCACCCACCCACCCACCCACCCACCCACCAATAACCCACCCACCAACCCGCAGGTGAAAACAGCGGAGGCGGCAGCAGCAGCAGTGCCAGTGGAGGCCAGGGCAGAGGTGGCTCTAGACGCCATTCTCGACTGTTGCGTGGGGCCGCCATCTCAGCGCCAGCTGGACGATGATGATTGGCAGCTGCTGCTCACGATCCTCGCTGGCGTGTTCCCGTCTGCTGATCCGTCTGCACTGGAGAATGCTGTGAATGCGCGCAGAGAGGCCAGCCTGCCTGGTACTGTGGAGGAGGAGGAGAAGGTAGAGTAATCTCAAATCTGATTTGGTCCAATCTGAATTCTCTCTTTGTGTGACTCTGTGTGTGGGAGCTGTGTAGCATTAAGCAAGGGTTCAGTGCTAGTAGGGGTGAGTTGGTGACTGCAGTCAGGTTAGGTGCTTAGTGTGTTACAGCCATGTGTACCGTCCCTGCACTGCGCCATGTCTCCCCTTACGAATCTGCTACCGTATGCTATTGTCTCGACTTGTTTCCTAAGGCAAGGCGTGTTGATGTTGGGCAGCATTCCATACCGCTAGACTTTTGAGAATTCTCAAAAGTCACACGCATTTCATACCCGTAGAACTACCGGTACCAGACACGTACGTGGCGCAGTGCAGGGACGGTACACATGGCTGTGATGCACTTTTCCAACCAGAAGAGCCTCTGCAGTGATACGGTACAGCCAGAGAGATTTGCAGGGAAAGTCAGGGAGGAAATCAACCAGCCAGCCCAACACCAACCCACCACCACCTCTGCCGTTGCTGTCAAACATTATATGTTGGTGTTCTGTAGGCTACAGTGGGTTTAGCCTTAGGGGGTACAACATTCTAGGGTTTCATACTTGTACTCCCATTCTTGCTAGTCCAAAACATTCTTGTTTCTTCTCATGGTATAGAGCGGGTTCCCTAGTGGGACCGTTTCTTCCTAGGGCCCACCGTTAATTTTTTTTTTTTTTTCCTAACCTGCCCGAAGCGCGCTTCACGCTCTGACCTGCCCTACCCTTTCGCGGCCCCTTAGCGGCCTGCGCTGCTCCTGAGGCCCGTCGCGGCCCCCCCCTTAGCGCCCCCACCTTCGCGGCCCCTTAGCGGCCCCTTCGCGGCCCCTTAGCGGCCCCCTTCGCAGCCCCTTAGCGGCCCCCCCTTTGCGGCCCCTTCGCGGCCCCTTCGAGGCCCCTTCGCGGCCCCTTCGCGGCCCCGCCCCGTTGCCAGTCGCGGCCCCGCCCCGTCGCCACCCGAGTGTCGCCCCTGCCTCGTCGCGACGCCTCAACGGGACCCGCGCGTCGCCCTCGCCTCGTCGCGACGCCCCTGCGGGACCCGCGAGGCGCGGCTCCTGCGCGTCGCGACGCCCCAACGGGACCTGGCGTCGCCCCCGCTCGTCGCGACGCCCCTGCGGGACCCGCGCGGCGTCGCCCCTACCCGCCGCGGCGCCCTGCCCTAACCCGCGCCTCTGGCCCCTGGAGCAGCCGCCCTTACAGCAGCCGCCCCTGCAGCAGCCGCCCCTGGCCCCTGGAGCAGCCGCCCCTGCAGCAGCCGCCCCTGGCCCCTGGAGCAGCCGCCCCTGGCCCCTGGAGCAGCCGCCCCTGCAGCCGTCGCCCCTGGCCCCTGGAGCAGCCGCCCCTGGCCCCTGGAGCAGCCGCCCCTGGAGCAGCCGCCCCTGCAGCTGCCGCGGAGCCCTCGCCCTGCAGTGGTAGCAGCTTCGCCGTTGCCGCCGTCGTACGCCTGCCCTTCTCGCCACTGGTGAGCACTGCCCTGCTACTGCTCCTGCTAGCCTGCTGCTGTTGCTGTCATGGCTACTCCCGCTGTTCTTACCTTCGATGCTGAGGGTCGTGCGATAGACTTTGAGGTCTGGCTCGATGATCTGCAGCTTTTCTTGCAGTGTGATAGCAAAGACGGTCTCTCGCTGTTCGATCTCACGTCTGGCGCCTCTCCTGCCCCTGCTGCCGATGCTGACAGTACTGTTCGCTCACAGTGGACCACACGCGATGCTGCTGCCCGTCTTGCTGTGCGTAGTCACCTGCCGTCCACTGAGCGCGCGCACTTTAGTCAGTACAAGAGTGCTAAGACCTTGTACGATGCTGTCGTTGCGCGCTACTCCTCCCCTGCCTCTGCTGCCCTTAGTCGCCTCATGCTGCCGTACCTTTTCCCTGACCTCGCTGCCTTTGCTACAGTCGCTGACCTCATTACGCACCTCCGCACTAGTGACACCCGCTACCGCGCTGCACTTCCTGCTGAGTTCCGCGCCCAGAACCCCCCCCCCATGTACATCACCCTCTACTACCTAGTCACCCGGCTCCCTGACTCCCTTCGCTCGGTCAGGGATCACTTCCTCGCTCTCTGCCCCACCACACTCACCGTTGACCTCCTCGAGGAGCACCTCCTTGCAGCTGAGAAGAGCATAGTCGCTGTAGGAGCCTCTCGTGGTGACCCTCGTACCCCTTTCTTTGAGGGGTGCTCCCCCGTTCCCCTTTTGCCCTCTGTTGCCTCTGCTGCTGCTGTCGACCTCCTTGGCACTGAGTCGGTCGGCGCTGCGTCTGCCCCTAGCGGGAGGCGCCGCACCGGCAAGGGCAAGGGGGGCAAGGGTGCTGGAGGAGCTGGCGGGGGTGGTGGTGGTGGCGGAGGAGGCGGCGGGGGGGGTGGGGGTGGAGGTGGGAGTGGTGGCGGAGGTGGGGGCTCTGGTGGCAGCGGTGGAGGCGGAGGCAGCGGCGGCGGCGGCGGTGGGAGTGGAGGAGGTGGCGGTGGCGGCGGTGGCGGCAGTGGCGGCGGTGGCGGTGGCGCTGGTCGGTGGTGGACAGCGTCCGCAGCAGCAGCGCTCTCGTGAGGCCCCGCCACCCCAGCAGCTTCACCAGTGGTACGCTGCGCGTCAGCGGTCTGGGGGTGCTGGTCCCTGTGCCTACGTCCTGCGTACTGGTGACCGCACTGGGGAGCCGTGTGGCGGCCCGCACACCACCCAGCGCTGCTTCGGCCGCCTGACAGACGCCTGGCGTCTCCGGTTCCCTGACGCCACTAAGCTCCCTCGCTGGCATGATGTGCTTAGGTCGGGGGTTCCTATCTTTGATCTTGACTATGATGCTATCCTTGCTGCCATGTATGTTATGTCTACTAGTGATGAGGGTGACTGTTACCTGAGTGTTCCGCCCGACCCGGGCGGTGCAGCTGCTGCTCTAGGTGCTAGTGAGTCTGCTGCTCCAGGTACTAGTGAGTCTGGTGCTCTAGGTGCTGGTGAGTCTGCTCTCTCAGGTACCACGCCTACTCAGGCGTTGCACACTTTCACCCTTGACTCGGGTGCTTCCCGCTCCTTCTTTCGAGACCGCACCACCCTCACGCCGCTCAGTCGGCCGGTTGCGGTCTCCCTGGCAGACCCCTCTGGGGGTCCTGTCCTTGCCCACTACTCTACTGTGCTACCGTGTCCAGTGGCCTCGTCTGGCTCCCTGTCAGGTCTTTACCTCCCCTCGTTCTCTACGAACTTGGTGAGTGGTGCTGACCTACAGGATGGGGGGGTTGACCAGTTCACTCCTGCGAGTCAGCGGGTGACCCACTGCACGTGTGCTCGGACGGGCCGACACTTGGCCACGTTTACCCGTCAGCCGGGGTCGAGCCTGTACACACTGACTACCGAGTCTCCTCCGGTTGCTGTGCCTGGTCAGGTAGCTGCGTCGGGTCAGGTGTTTGCTGCAGCGTCTCGGTCTGGTCCTGAGTCTGCCCCCTGCTCGTGTCGCCTCCTGTCCCACCAGACTCTTCTCTGGCACCACCGCCTTGGTCACCCCTCCCTGCCTCGTCTCCGAGGCATGGCCTCTCGTGTCCTTGTCTCTGGTCTCCCCCGGTCTCTCCCTCCCCTCCCTCCGGGGCCTGCCCCTACCTGCGTTCCCTGCGTCGAGGGGCGGCAGCGCGCCACTCCTCACTCCTCCGAGTTTCCGCCGACAGAGGCTCCGCTGCAGACTCTTCACATGGACGTGTGGGGCCCAGCCCGCGTCCGTGGACAGGGTCACGAGCGTTACTTCCTGCTGGTGGTTGACGACTACTCGCGTTACACCACAGTCTTCCCCTTGCGCCGCAAGGATGAGGTCACTGAGGTGTTGATCGACTGGATCCGCGCTGCTCGTCTCCAGCTCAGGAAGAGTTTCGGCTCGGACTTTCCTGTTCTGCGTCTGCACTCCGACAGAGGTGGAGAGTTTTCCTCCGGCCCTCTACGAGCCTTCTGTCGTGCGAGGGGCATCCGCCAGACGTTCACGCTTCCGGCCTCCCCACAGCAAAATGGGATTGCTGAGCGCCGCATTGGCATGGTCATGGACGTCGCTCGTACGTCCATGATCCATGCGGCTGCTCCCCATTTTCTGTGGCCGTTTGCGGTTCAGTACGCGGCGCATCAGATCAACCTTCAGCCCCGGGTCTCCATGCCGGAGACCTCCCCCACTCTGCGGTGGACGGGGAAGGTTGGCGATGCGTCTGCGTTCCGTGTCTGGGGATCTCGGGCTTTTGTCCGAGACTTGTCTGCGGACAAGCTGTCCTCAAGTGTTGTTCCCTGCGTCTTCCTTGGCTTCCCCCCTGACGCGCCTGGTTGGCAGTTTTACCACCCCACCTCGCGCCGTGTTCTGTCCTCCCAGGACGTCACGTTTGACGAGTCGGTTCCGTACTACCGTCTCTTCCCCTACCGCGCTGCCCCCCTCCCTCCCCCGCCGCTCTTCCTTACGCCAGGTCCCCCTCTGGTAGACCCCCTCCCCCCTCAGGGTCCTGCTCCTTCAGGTGTGTCTCAGGTAGACCCCCCCCCCTTGGCTGAGCCTTTGGAGGTCACTTCCGACACCTCTGGCCCACCTGAGGGGGGTGACGTTGCTGCTGACGCCCCGGCGGCCTACCGCCGCACACCACGCTTGGAGACCCCTCCGGGGTTCCCTCCGCGACCTTCTTCGCCGCCTCTGCAGCCGGTTACTGTTGACTCTGGTGCTGTTGGGGGTGGTGCTGAGCCTGGGGGTGCTGAGTCTGGGGGTGCGGAGTCTGGGGGTGCTGAGCCTGCGCGTGAGGAGACTGGAGGTCCTGCGCCTGGGGGTGCTGTGTCTGGGGGTGCTGAGCCTGTGTGTGCGGAGTCTGGGGGTGCTGAGTCTGGAGGTGAGACGCCTGAGGGTACTGGGACTGCTGGTGCGCGGCCTACTTGGAGTGGCCGCCTTCGTCCGCGTGTGCCTCTCACCTCACAGCAGCTGCACGACTGGTACGGTCGCCGTCAGGGTCGCGCTGCTGGAGCCCGGGGCTCTGCTGCTGGAGGTACTTCTGCTGACGTCCCT